AGAGAAAGCAACCCACCAGGTCCGGGACTCAAACTGCAGTTGGCCATGTGGGAGTCCAGTGCCCTTAACCACCACACCACCTGCTGGTCCCCATATGATGTTTTTCTATTACAACACTTTGATGCAACCAGGTGTGGAGGTCAGATGTGGAATTTTCCACTCATGGTGTCCGGTTGGCATCTGGAAAGTTTTGGATTTTAGAGCATTTCAGATTTCAAATTTTGAATTTGGGATGCTAACCCTGTCAGAGCCAAGAAGTAGGTGAAGACTGGGCCCTGCTAGGTAGGGGTCTCAGGCCCCCTGGGGAACGTGCCGGGTCCCACAATCCTAACACAGCCTGCTGTGCTGTGTGGGGCCCCGGCATGAGGACCGGGCACAGCTTGGTGGCCAGCTAGGGGTAAGGTAAGTGTGAGTGCATGGCAGTGCTGATGAGAACCCCGACCGCATGCACCTCGGCTCTGGGTCACAGCCACCTCACGGCGGAGAGATGAAGAGCTTGGGCCAAGTGAGTAACGTGCCTTCCCTCATCAAATTATTTACGGGTTGAGTCAGGGTTTTGCCACACGGCACATGCACTCGCCGGAGAGAGGCAGGCAGACAGTGTGAGGGAAAGTGAGGAATCACCCCCAGGGGGGATGGCCGTGCCTCAGTCCCTTCTCCACTCTCCTCCTGGGATCTTGGGCACACACACACACGCCTGGCGTGCGTTTCAAGCACTTCGCGGGGGTGGTGTTAAAAGCCACTGGGTGCGAGACTCAAACCATAGCTATGTGGGGGTTCAGCACCTTAGCCACTATGCCACCTGCTGGCCACCCCTTACAGATTCTGACAGCAACCCCGGGAGACAGGCTCTGTGATTCTTCCCCTTTACAGATGGAGAAACTGAGGCCAGAGGGGTTAAGCGCCCAGGAGCCCACAGCTTGCAAGTGCTAGAGCCAGATTCCCACGCGTGGCCCTGCGACTCCACAGTGTGGACCCTCAGCCGCTCCCCCGCACTGCCATACATCAGAGTGTGCTTTAACGTCCCGGCAGAAGGGCTAATGGCCCGATTAGCAGAAATCCAGTTGGATTATTACGACGATTTCCAATTACCAGCTCTTGTAGAAGGCAGTCGGTTTCGTACAAAAGCAGGCGTTCCTGCCGCCTCAAGGACCTGTCTGTAGAACATCTGACCCGTGTTAGGGGGCAGGCGGCTGTTTTTATCTGGCCGGCACGGGTCCCTGTGGCCTCCTGAGTGTTCTGGAGGCAGTTCGTGTTGACAGTCCCCCTACAAGGCGTCCCGCCTCTCGACTTTGACGTCCACGGGTCTAAAGTTACAAGTAAAGCTGTTCTGTGCAGGCGGACGGTGGCTCCAGAACACAGAAGCCCCTCTCCCGCCGGCCCCTCTGCTCCGGAGACACCTGCTCCCCGAGGGCTGTGGACGATTGCCGTGGCTGGCTGGCGTCCCCAGAGGGCCTCCCCACCCTGAAGGCGGGTGCTCCCGACCACCCAAGTCTGCACTTGAAACTTTCCATGTTGGGCCTCCCTGGGGGACTTCTCTAGACACATCACAGAGGCCCTAACTGCACTTGCGCCGCCGTCCCATCCCGAGGGCCTCCACCTGGCCGGCTCCCCCATGCCCACGCGCCCTTTCTAAGTCACCTTTCTGTCATTGCAGCGCCCTGGAGGCAGCCGTCTCTCTCGGGGGTGAGGACTTGACCCCGTTCTATGGCCTGGTGTCTGGCGGCAGGGAAGGAAAGTTCTACAGGGTAATTGTCCTCGGGCCACCCCGGGATAAGTCTGGCCCGTCTCACCCTGCCCAACCTCGGAGTCCTAATGGGCGTCCCCCGGCCCCCAGGAGCTGGAAGACTATTTCTACTACTCCCAACTCCGCAGTCAAGGCCTGAGTACCATGGAGGCCAGGAGGGTGTCGGAGCACATATGCCTGTCGGAGCTGCCCTTCGTCATGAGAGCCATCGGCTTTTACCCGTCCGAGGAGAAGGTAGGGACGCGGACACGAACTGCCGCCCCGTGTGCTTTTGATGAAGGATGACCCCTGGGAACCGGAGTTGCGGTGGCTCGGAAGGAGGTTCTGGGAATTGTAGGTGCTCTCCTGAGTGGCTGACTTCGGGTGAAGATCCGGGCCTTCCCGAGAGGTGTGCGTGCGAGCCTGACGGGGTTAACATGGGCTTTGCAGTGGTGTGCCCGGAGCTCTGGCCCAGCGCCCCCGGCCAGGGGAGGACCAGCTTCCCGGGGTTGCAGCAGGTGACGCCTGTGAGCACTGGGCACCAGGTGGCTCCCGTGGACGCGCGAGGTTCGTGGCAGCTCTGTAGTGAGGGTGGTCAGCCACCGTCGCTGTCCTCACTGGAGGCCTGCCATGAACCTCGCGCGTGTTCACAGGCACCTCCGGGCTGTGGGGCTCAGACGCTGCAGTCATTCCTTGGGACCCTGCCACAGCCTGCACCCCCACCAGCTGCCAGAGGCTGCAAACAGGAACAAGGGGCACCCCCGGGAAACGGTCCTCATATAAAACGTATTATTGCGATAAATAAATGTAATTTATTGGGTTTTCTTTCTGACTTGAAATGTAATATATTCCCATTTTCGGAAGCTTGAGAAAGACATGCAAGTGAAAGGAAATAGTTACTTAAAATTCCCACTACCCAAGGGGCCTGCAAGTGGCACGGTGGTTAAGACAGCTGGATCCCACATGGCTGGGTGAGTAGTTCGAGTCCCGGACCTGGCGGCTTGAAAAACACGCTGAGTGCATGAGCATGCATACCCAAAATCCTGAGAGGCAAATGGAGGATTGTGGTGTGGCCATCCCCCTGGGGAGTGATTTCTCACTCCCTTCTCCAACCCTGTCTGTCTCTCTCCAGTGAGTACATGTGCCCTACAGCAAAATGTAAAAAAGTTTAAAAAGTTTCCACTATCCAGAGTTAGCAATTAATAATTTTTCTGTAATTTTTTCACTAAAAAACTGAAAAGCTATGTTAAATATATACTTCTATCTTATATTTTAAAAATTTACTTTATTTAATGTTTATTTATTTATTTTAATTTGGCCAGGTCTAGGACTCAAACCGTGGTCGGCCCTGTGGGAGTCCAGCGCCTTCACCTCCACGTGCTGGCCCTCTAGCTTATATTTTTACTCAATACTTTGTCATAATGGTTTTTCTTTCTCTTTTTCTTTTTGTTGGCCAGGAAGTGCATGCGCTGTCAGAGGGAGGCAGAGAGAGCGCTCCGCCATGGGGGATGGTCACACCGCAATTCCTTCTCCCTCAGTCCTCCATCCCGCTGGGACTTGGGGCATACACACATGTGTCTAGTACGTTTTTCAAGCTGTCAGGCCTGGGACTTGAACTGTGCGGTTGGCCCTGTGGGATCCAGCTGCCTTAGCCACTAGGTTATAGGCTGGGCCCCCTGCTGGCCAGGGAAGGTGGCGGCCGGTCTCCGAATAGCGTCTGGAGAAGGGAGCTGCCAGCGCCGGACCGTGCTGGGTCTGGCATCAGACCTTACCAACGCCGGGCATTCTCTTAGGCCACAGTAGCCTCAGGGGCGTGCAGTCCGGAACAGAACGTGGCCAGAGCGTGAGCAAGCACTGGGAAGTGTGCACAGCCCACGGAGAGTGTGCCTTTGGCTGCAGGTGGTGGTGCGGCCTGACGTGCTCTGAGAGGCCGAGCCGCACGGGAGGGCTCCGGGTTCTCTTCCAGAGACCCCCCTGAGCACGCCAGGCACGTGCAGGTCTGTGATTTGGGACTGGGCTGGAGACGGAGTGTGAGATCGGCCCCTTGCGAGAGTGTGTGCTCTCAGAAAATGAATTCAAAACAAAACAAAAGACCCACAGAACTTAAAAAAGCCTTACTCAGAGCTGTTTTCCAAAGCCCGATCCTTACAATGGCGGCCCCGAGCTGGCCGGGCGCAGAGACACGGAGCACTTGCGTCCTTGCCCCTCCCAGATGGGGCTCATCGGACTCTCCCAGGACAGGATGCGTCCTGGAGGCCTGCGTGTCCCCTCTGCCGAGGTGAGGCTGCCGTGTGGCCGGGCCGCGAGCCTCTGTCTTAGCACTCACCCCCAGGGGTGTCCACTGGGGCAAGCCCAGTCCCTGTCCAGGGCCCCGGCCTTCCCTCCTCGTCACTGCCCTGTGGGCATGCCTTGCTCCAACCAGGCCCGGTACCTTCGCTTCCTGGAGTCAGAGCAGGTGTGGGCCCCTAACCTGAGGGTGCTGAGCAGGGGAGTGGCTTCCAGACTTCACTCTTCAGGGGAGGGAAGAAACAGGCCCAGCGTCAGGGGCTTTAGAGGGTCCTGGACGGGAGGCCTCTGATGAAGCGTGGGGCCCACATGGCAGAAGCCTCTCCTCTCCCCCTTCGAGGTGTGGACCTCCACGTCCGCTGGCTGCTCCCGCCGCGGCCCCCTGGGCTGCTGGCGCTATGGCTCTTCTTTGGCCAAACATTTGTGCCAAATAACACCCACCCCCTGGGTGGCTGGAGGCACACCCCACCCTGCAGGTCGGGGAGCTCATGGGGGCTGACCTGGCTGCACTGCAGTCCCTGGGGTGCTGTCTGAGGCTGGGGCAGCTGCAACCTCATAGGACTGGGCTCCCGAGGGCCGGAGGGCAGTGCGGAGTAGCTTTGCCCCCCCGTGGACGCTGCTGCTTCCTGGACCCAGACTAAGATGTCCCCCTCTGCCCCTGCTCATAGGGAGTGGAGGGTATGCAGTGCCCACCTGCCAGGCAAAGCTGGAGGAGGCCATGGGCACTGAGCGACCAGCCCAGAGACTGCTCCCTGCAGGGGTATGGGGCTCTCCTCATCTTCTATTCTTGGTCTGCCAGAGGGCACGAGTGCTGTCCGGGAAAGAGCAGAGGGGGCAGGGAAAAAGCACCGCTCATGGGAGGTGGTCACCATACGACTCCTCCTCGGGAGCCAGCAGATGGCATAGTGGTTATGTTGCTGGACTCTCATATGGCTGACTGCGGCTCGAGTCCTGGAGCTGGTGGCTTGAAACTCACACTGGACATGTGTGTGTGTGTGTGTGTACTCGACACGTGTGTGTGTGTGTGTGTGTGTGTGTGTGTGTGTGTGCACGCATGTGCCCAAGATCTTGGGAGGTGAGTGGAGGAGAAAGGATTGAGGTGTGGCCACCCCGGGGGAGTGATTTCTGACTTTCCTTCTCACGGCCTCTGTCTTTCTCTCCCTGACGGGGAGCACACATGCCCTAAGAAAAAATCTCCAACAACAAAAAAACCCTCAAAACAAACACAAAGAAACAATTCTTTCTCCTTATTCTCTCCCTCCTTACTGGACTTTTGGCATGCCCAGCATGTTTTTTTTTTTAATTAATTTATTATTATTTTTTTTGGAGAGTTTTTTTGCTATAGGGTGCATGTGCTCGCCAGACAGAGAGACAGAGAAACAGAAAGCAAGAAATCACTCCCCAGGGGGGATGGTCACGCTGCAATCCCTTCTCCTCCATTCTCCTCTCAGGATCTTGGGCATCCACGCACATGCGCCCGGCATGAGTTTTAAGCCACCGGGTCCGGGACACGAACCACGGTCGACTACGTGGGAGTCCAGCGACATAGCCATTACACTAACTGCTGGTTCCTGCATGCCCAGCATGTTTTCAAGCTGCCAGGTCCAGGACTTGAACCACAAGCTCTGCTGTGTGCGATCTGGCTGCCTGAACCACCATACCACCAGCTGGCTAGAGGTCTACTACTAAAGGCTGACTCACTTATCCTATCACCTGCAAACCATAATACATTTTAACACTCTCAGAACCTTGCTGATGAATAAAAAGTATCCAGAGAAAATGAGTTTGCAACAAATATTACAAAGTGACACTGTTGATTGCTTTTTAAACATACAAACAGACACAGTGAAGAGGTGGTCCTAAGGCCTCCTCTCCACCGGCTATTAATATGCTGCCCTCCCCACTGCTCAAAGCGGGCTTCCGGCCCTGTCGGTGTCTTCAAGAATCCCGGGGACTCCAGGCTCTTAAACCTCTTGTAAAACGTGCGCTTAGTCTCTGGAGGCGTTTCCCAGAAGCCCCGCGTGATCCCGATGAGGGCCAGGTCAGTGTGGAGCGGTTAGCTGCCGAAGCCGTTGGTACCTGAGGCTGCTCAGCCAGGGCTTTCTGATCTTTTGTGTTCGAGTCAGATTTATAGTGGTTTAATACATAATCTTTTCAGGGCTTTGAAACGCTTAAGCCCAAGCCTTGCTCTGGTGGAGGACACGTTTCCTATTAAGCTGTAGCCGCTCCCTGCCGCCCCCAGACGTCGCACCGAGCAGTCCGCTCACTAACGGAGCGCTTTAGCTCTCGGCTCCCTAAAGGACTCGGACGCAGAGGCCCGAACCAGCCCCCAAAGACTCCGTTATTTATATTTGTTCTTGCGTCAGCATAACCGCCTTGGGGATTCGAAGCTAGTCAGTGTGGTGAGTCGAAGCCAGACTGCACGTGCATAGAACCTTCCCCAAAGAATTCCCAGCTCTTCCCTTCTCGTGTGAAAGCTGCTCTCAGGTAGAGCACAGCCGGATGGTCAGAGAGGGCGTCTCTTGTAAAACAAACGAACAAACGAACTTCATTTTTGGGCAGGCCCCTTAGCCTAGTGGTTAAGGAAGCCAGATTCCACAAATGGCAGACTGCAGTTCAAATCCTGACCCTGGTGGCTTGAAAAACATGCTGTGTAGAGCTGGTAGGTGGCATGGTGGTTAAGGCACTGGACTCCGACATGGTTGACTGCGGTTCAAGTCCCAGACCTGGCAGCTTGCTTTCTCACTTTCCCTTTCTCTCTGGTTAAATTTTAAAAAATAATAATAATGATAACAAATAAAAACAAACAAATAAATAAATAATTCTTATTTAAAAAAAGGAAAACATTCCTCGTGTGTGTGTATGTGTGTGTGTGTGTGTGCGCGTGCGTGTGTGTGTGTGCGTGCGTGTATACCCCCCAAATCCTGACAGGGTAGAGAAATGGAGAAAGGCCTGTGGCATGACCGTGG